GTTAGAAAGTGTGTCAGACTGGCATATATTTCTTTATATATCATTTTTATTTTGTGTCTGGGACGAGGTATAAACCTACTGAGCCAGTATTACTTTGTGAGTAAAAGGCATCTTCGCAACTATGACTTTCGGTATCAGTGTTGGACTTGCACCCTTTTTGACTAGTATTATAATTACTGTGCATCACTATTTTGCGAGTATTACTAATAGGTGAGAGTGTCGCTTTGTCAATCAACATAATTTATTCGATTTTGCTAGAACCCCCCCCTCTCCCAAGACGATTCTTCAATCGCACAAGGTGAATATCATGGTCAGTGACGTTTCTTGGGGGGAGGCCAAGGTTATCTGGGGCCCAAACGAGTTGACTGGAGGTGAAACACTCACAACACTGGCCAACCAAAGGGAAACAAATATGTTGTCCTGTGTTTCGCTAAATAAGAAAAGCAGGAGCACACTCTTCTGTTGTAAAAAGTGTGATTTTGCTGTGTGAATTGGACTGCTTCGAGAAGTGCCACGCACATCAGTGTGAATATCGTAGAGAAGTGACTGTGAAGTGACGCAGTTCAAACTCGCGTCCAGTAATATTATTGTATATAGTGTGATTATATTTACAATATCACCAAGTCTCAAAGCTGAATATCACAGTCAGTGGCGTTTCTTGGGGGAAGCAGAGGTTACCTGGGGCCCAACTGAGTCGACTGGAGGTGAAACATTCACAGCACTGGCCAACCAGAGGGAAACAAAGATGTAGTGTGTTTCGCTAAACAAGAAAAGCAGGAGCATGCTCTTCTGTTGTAAAAAGTGTGATGTCGCTTTGTGTGAGGTGGAATACGTGTCAGAGTGTATCGTAAACTGTGAAGTGAAGCAGTTCAAACTCGTGTACAGTCTGAACAAAATATTATTGTATATAGTGTGATTGTATTTACAATATCACCATGATTCAAGGTTGAAGAAGAAACAATGGGTAAGTCCTTTGGAATTTCATAACATCTGTATAAATAAAAATGTAAATGTTGGTTTGTTAATCATCGAAGATCTCTGAAAGTTCTTCACCGATTGCTTCGAAATTTTGACACAACATTGCATTTGAACACTCCTGTGTTTTCATATGCCTATTATATAGCTGTCACACCCGTGACAGGTAAAAACAGGTAAAAGGATTAATTGTATTCAATATTAATATACTGTAACGTGTTATACGTCGTCCATCGAATACCAACAGATCGTTGCCTGGGAATAACCGTGGCAACGAACTGTTGAAACATCGAGTCGTTGCCTAGGAATAACCGTGGCAACGAACTGTTGAAACAGCAAATCGCTGCCTAGGAATAACCGTGGCAACGAGCTGTTGTGGCAACGAAATTTTCGTTTTGATTTTATTATTTTGTGTTACATTGCGTTGGAATTGGGCTGAGTCGTTTACCGTAGCGTTCATTTCGTGAGTATAGTTTATTTTTTGTTGTTTCTCATTTCGTTTTCTTAACTGTTTCCCATATTTTCCGGTGCATTTGGCGGTGGGATTAGGCTGTGTCGATTGATCTGCGTTTGAATTGAAATATTTCGTCAGTATTTTTTATTTTTTTTTGTTTCTTCTTTGTTTTCCAGTTTGTGTTCTTTCATTTTTTAATGTTTTGCAATTTCATATGTTTTTGTTATAACTTTCTTTCTTCTTCAGTGCAGTCGTTTCCATATTAACGCTAGAACAGACCGTTGCATAGGGTAATACGTTCCGTTGCGTAACAACGGATGAAACTGGAAAGTATACTTCCATGGAAACGCGAGTATCACGGGGTCACGAGTATCACAAGAGATTCTGAGTGAAATCAAAGCAGAAACAGTTTCGATTTATTTTCATTTTGATTTAATTATTT